TCTGCGCGGATGTGGTCACACTCGGCATTCTTAAGAAGTTGTTTTACAGATCTCCGGGTTTCCTAGTAGGCCTTCCAGGCGTCTGTATTTCGGCTTTGTCGGTAACGACGAAAGAGCTGTTCTCTAAAGGTCATCTGATCCTTAATTTCAGGTGTTACGTAAGGGCAGGGACGACTGCGAATTCTGATCGACTTAATTGGTGCATGAGCGTCCAGTGTGCAAAGAAAAGTGTCATTAAACGTTGCGAGTTTAGGTCAACAGGGAGGTACGAGATAATCTTAAAACTGTCTATTTCTCTACATTTTTTTCCAAATCGGGTACTTTGAGGTCACTTAACTGAACAAATATAGCCCAGACAAACAAACGATCTTAAGGTTTTAGTAAGATTCATAGTTTTTGCTATAAAATAAGAATTTTTGACCGTTGGTTAAGTTTCGAACATTTCGCGCGCAACAAGGAAAAAACACTCAAAATTAAGGGAACCCTAGGCGAAAACAAGCACGGTGACCCCATCTTTTTATTGCAGTTTTTGAATGGCTCATATATGTCTGACATTTGTGCCAAGTCTGGAAAAAATCTAAGTAGTACATCATTTTCAAGGGAATTACCTTAAATTTCAAACGCAACCTTACGCAAGAAGGAGCGTCTATGGATACAATTCATCGCATCAATCACACAGAATCAAACAATTTCAACGCACCCTCATTAGCCATCTCTGCTTCTCACAAAATCACGACGAAAATGCGTTATTTTATCTCCAAAGACAATGTTTTTTACGGAGAAACCACGTTTCGCCATCCATTCCGTTGTGTCGACTAGCAATGTGTGCCCCTAGGTGATCCTAGAATACAATGCGCATAACATAGGTATCCGATCACTGGAAAATCATTCATTCTAAGTAAGATGGCGAGAGAAATGCCGCAAATCCTGCAATCTGATCGCTTCCGGGTTCTTCCTACGATCTTGGCTATAAAACAGGGCGGAATCTTTGTAGCGGATTCATTCACAACCTTGGTGGTTGTTTGTGAATGAGCGCTAGCGAACAAAATATCTGAAAAATAATCAAGCAAATCTGCCAGGAAAATTGCTTCGGAAATAATCCAAAACGGCGGCTATTTCGTTTTAACCAGCTTTAACTGCAGTAAGTACTGTAATTTAGCTTTTACAGTGGCGGATCCAGACCTTCAAATAAAGGGGGGGGGAGCGGTCATCCAGACCCTGAGATAAGAGGGACCCGGTCTCAAAAAAATTTTTTGGGCCCTTTGGGCCTCATTTTGGTCTAAAAATAACGGGGCAGTAGTATAGGAGGGATGAAATTATCCCCTTTTTTGGGGAGGATTCTCATTAAGGTGGGGAGGAATACATTAATGCCGATGACGTCATAGGCTATTGTCCTCATCTCATGAATAAAATGTGGTGGATTTAATTAAGTATACTGGTTTGACCGGTTTGTCAGGTTCTATTTTTAGCCTGGTTGATATAACTGTTTTATTTTTGTTTTATGACATAACCTATTGTCTTGAACTCATGAATAAAATGCGGTGGAATAAATTAGCGTCGATGACGCAAGAGTCTTTTGTCTTTATTCATAGTGCGGTGGATTTAATTAACGTGTTCTATATTTAGAATGCTGGTAAAACCCGTTTGACAGGTTTATTTTAGATCGATGATGTCATAGTTTATTGTTCTTGAGCTTATAAAAGCTCGCTTTCTTCCAAGCACATCATTCGCAAGTTGTGAGTTTGAGTAGTTATCATGGATTTTGATACCACTTTGAATGAGTTTGAAAATTGTATCTGGCGCGATGAGACTCCAAGCGATCAGATGTTGGATCGGCTTTATGCGGAAGGGGTAAGTTGAATTTTTTACTTATTAACGCACTTATTAAAGTTAATCTTTTCCTAACAAACATCAGCCTTTGGTAAACAAATTAGTCATTCGCTGATCATTGCTAAGCTCGTGCATTAAGTCATCAATGACGACTAAATTCCGCATAGAGGGATTAATTAGGGTTTCCAGATCACCAGGCACTCCTTCAACAAACGTAATGTTCGGAATAGTTTTAAGCATCTCATCGTAGGCTGGTTGATACATGCCATAACACCAGATGATTTTTTCCGGGGCACCATCAATCATGTCTTCTCCTGCCTCTAGTAAACGTTTTACAAACTGACTTTTCCCACAACATGTTGGGCCGGCCACAAGCGCGGGGAAAGGATGTTTCCATCT